CATTGCGTCGCTGACGAGCACATGAGACCTCTACCCACACATCCCCATGATAGAAAGCAAGCTTTTAAAGAATGACGTGTTCCAGATGGACAGTAGTAACGAAGGGTATGAGAGTGAATTACCATCCTTACGCAAATGGGGAGGTCAGAGGAACTGTACTGGACCAAAAGCTCCAAACTCTGAGGCCCCCGTTTGTTTTAAGGTATAGGAGGATATTGGGATTAATAATAGCCAAAGTATTACTAATGCTCTTGTTTGTTTACAGAGATAGCCTTGGACTATTAGTCCCTTGGTATTACTAATACCCTGGAAGGGGGATTCGTAAGGAGGAAGTAGAGATGGTATAGAAAATAGTGAGGGGATTTAGAAATTTTTTTATTTTTTTTATTATTGGAAATTTTTTTTTAAATATAATGTTTAATTTTTTATATTTTTTATTTGTTTATTATTTTATTATAAAATAATTTAACAATTCCTCATTATTAATCTCCTCACTATCAATCCCCTCACTATCAATCTCCTCCATTCTATCTTTCCAAAACAAACGGCGCCGAAGATTGAGTGAGTTAGGGAAGAGCAGGTAATGAAAAATTAGGAGGGTGTGGTATTTTATTGTGAAAAAATATTATGAATATGAATAGATTGGTAATAAGTAAGATGCTTAAAAAAATATTATTAGAATGTTTAGAGTTTAGGGTTAAGATATAAGAAACAACGGGATCCAAAAAAATTTTGATAAAGACTAATAGTAGCACTCAAAAATAAAAAGGGAACCGCTGGGGCAGATTTAAACTATCCCAACATGGCCATCATTCCCGCCCCCAGATGATTTTTAAAAATTCGTTGACTATGCATGTAACATATATGTATCCAAGTCTCACCTGTATCAGTTACGATTACCATTAGCCCAAATCCCTATTTCTATTGATGGACTAATCAAACCCTTTCTATCTCACCACCAAAACCCTAGTTTTGTCTAAAAAATGGCGGATCAGATCGAGCTCAATCGAACCTCTCTTTCCCTTCCCTATCAGCTTCAGGCGAAGAGGAAGGGCTCCGGAGTGAAGGACCTGGTTTGTCGTCTCAAAATTGGGGAACTCTCGAATTGAAGAGCTTGGGAAGCAAGCGATCATTCTGAGAGAGTGGAGTCAGGCTCATGATTTGAGGGTTTTTGAACCAGAGCTCTCGAACCCCTCTGCCATTCTCCGAAGGGAGAGGGCTATTGTTGTGAACTTGGAACATATTAAAAGCATTATAACTGCGAATGAAGTTCTTGTACCAAACCCTAAAGACCCTTTTATGGGTTCATTGTTTGTGATCTCGAATTCAAGCTCTCTGATTTTGGTGTAAGTACTTTTCTTCATTATTTCATGAAATTAACTTGATTCTGATTTGATTAGAGTGATCATTCTTCTGATTTATTTTAGTGGTTGATCTGTGAATATGTTGGGGTGAAATTTGTATAATTTTGTTTTTGGAATTTTGAGTCAATAAAACACATTGAAAAAAATGAGCAACTGAGAAAACTTTCTAACACTTTTTTACAAGAATTAAAAATTAAGACATTCCTGTTGTTTTTAAATATGATTAGGAACCACTACTTGGTGAAATTGTTAAAATTTCTGAGCTTTATAACGGTGAGAAAGCTGGTTTTATAGTGCAATGAAACTACAGCTTTGTGTAAATAAGGAGAAAAGTTAGATCCATACCCGATCTGCCCAATCTGGAATCCTTGATTAATGGAACCAGCTCTGGGGTAATGGCCATTTCGTTTTTGCTTATTATTGGAAACATAAGTTGGACAGATAATAGTTTAGAACCATAAATTGTTGATGAAATAATTTTTTCTTAAATAATGCTAAGCAGAAACATTATATCCAGTTATTGTTACTTTAATCAGAAAAAAAAAAAAAAAATAGCATCACGACACCCACCTATTGATTGATATAATTTTAAAACAGCAATGCTAGGTATCATGAAAAACCTTTCATGAAAATAATCATGAAATGTTTGTGACCCTTGGATTACACTTAGAATAAAAACCACCACACCACTAATCAAAGTTAACATCAACGATCATAAATTTTTCATGATCATTTTCATGATAAAATTTTCCATGATCCCTAACTTTTCCCAATTTTAAAAAGAGTGTATGATTGATTGTGTCGACTGTGTGAAGGCCAAACATGGTAAGCAATTAAAGCTATGGAGGCAATCACCCTCAAATGCCACAGAGGCAAGCTGATAGGAGTCATAAATCACGCACGAATTGGTTCACATAGGGGCACTCAAAGGCATTACCCATTGAAGTTCAGAGCTTTTTGCAGATTTGCTAGAATCTGTCTGCAGGAGCCTTGAATCTGAGGGTATGACTTATTAATATATATGCTCTTAATCTGCTTTGTATTTCTACTCTTCACACAGCTGTGATATTGAATTTTATTAATGTATTTGAATTGAATTTGTTTGAAACAAGCATATCACGTTTTAGGAAAATTACACTTCTGAATCAAGCTTCTTTAATGATCAGTGGATAACAAACTTGCACTTACATTATCTCTCTATATTTGCAAAGTGGGATTTCTCACCGTTCTCCCAAAATAACAAAATTCATTGATTTAGATGTGGTAGTATTATTTTACTTCTTTTTATGTTTTTCTCATATACTTTCTTGTACATCATGAAATATAAACAAGCACCCTCATTTTTGAGTATCTCGGATGATTTATGACATCGTTAACCACCTCATAATCTTGCAGCCATATTGCTCAACCATAATTTGGCATCACACAACTTTTTAGGTCCTCGTATCACCTTCACGAGTTCGATTATCCATCAAAGAGAGAGTTAATATTGTCCTTTATGGGAAAAAAGATGAATTTGGCCAAGTAGTATAAACTTGACCAACGTTCCCTATACATTCTTAAACTTGTGGTAACATCCTTCAATCAGCACTAGTATTGTTTTTTTTGCAACTTTTCTGGCCTATCGTTGTATCTATATCTTTATCAACAGATAGAACTATAGATTTAATCCTTTCAAACAAAGTAAATCGCGTGCATTTCAAAGCTATTGAATCAAATCTTTCTTGTTTGGCTTGTGACCTTTTACTGAGATAATCGTCGAAGCATGTTTGAGTCTTTGAA